TTACGGACTTGAGTTGTTTGAAGAGAAGAAATAGGAACTGTGACTGTAACTTAAGAGAATGTTCGGGAAGTGGGCTGAAATGAGAACAAGGAGCAGATCATCCTTCAGGTTATAAAATACCTCCGTTTTGATGACTGGGAACATGGATTAAATACAACTTGATGTCAAGCTGATACCATTTCTTAAATAACCTGAGATTCTTTTAATTCTAAATTAATATCTTACCAATGTGTAATGGAATTAGTGATCGATTAATTGGGGAGTCACACAGATGTTCTTTGCTGAATATATTTAGTTATTGTGGTAATGTCTGAGTAGTTTTATACCAGCTAATAAAGTGATTTATTTGCACAAGGAAGTGAATGAGTAGAACATGTGTGCCAGGGTGTTTTTTGGGTTTTGGTTTTTTTTTTTTTTCCCTAGCTGTTTTAAAAACAATCTTTTATGCTTTCTTTAAAGGTTATTCTAACATTTCAGGAGACTTATGCTTTCTTGATTGTGTTTTCTTAGCCAAAAAAAAAAAAAAAAGAAACTTGAAAATTATTCTTTGTCTCATTAAATTGTCCTATTTATTCTTCTTGAAAATAAAATTTTAATTTCCTTTTAGACCTGAGTCGATATAAAGCTTCTGTATTGGTAAAATAGTGGCACCAGGGTCCCGCCCCTGGGAGCATCTATCTCTAATTAGCTAAAGCATTGTCAAAAAAGAAAAATAAAAGTTATGTGAATCTCACTTTTTCCATTCATGGCTGAGTTCCCAGAATGATTCACATGTTAGTCTATGATATCATCCTTATTTAAGTGCTTAGACAGACAAATAAACACTTAGAGAAGTAGCAGAGAAAAATGGAAAGGGAAATTGAAATAATTCAAAAGGTTAACATAATTTGAACTGTACAGTGTGTCTTGTACAATGCTAGTGCTCAGGCAGAGGACGTTGGTTCACACCCTGGATTTTTAGGACCTGAAAGTATTTTGAAATCTACTAAATATTTTGATTAATTTATTGGGCAAGTAAAGAAAAATAGATGCCTATATTTAGCTGGACAACTACAAGAAAGCAGACACTGTGATGATGATAAGGAGAGAGGGCTTTTCCTCGCACAGATTCAAAACATGCTCCCAGTAGAGAAAGCATCAGACAGCATCAAGCCACAGTTCTGTGTTCGTGGGATTTTAAAATGTATACAAATCCTCACTGTTGATGCAACCACCTGTGGTTACCTGGCAAGGATACTAGGAATCGCTTGCAGAGAGGTACGGTGGAGTTTCCTGAGGAAAGCAGTTATTGATGCCGTAGATGGCTACTGCACCCTAAAAACCGCATGAGCTACGTACTGAAAGTGTGCACTTTCCTATGTGTGCTACGTCGATCAAACTCATTTTTAACTTCAATTCCTTTAAATGGTAACTTTTTAAAAGATTTATTCGAAAGGCAGTTGCACCGAGAGAGGAAGAAACGGAAACGCGCGCACACACACACACACACACACACACACACACACACACACACACAGAGCATCTTCCATTTGGTCGTTTATCCCCAGATAACCACAAAACCAAGAGCTTCATCTGAATCTCCCTGTGGGTGCAAGGACCAAATCCTTGGCCTTCCCAGGCATGTTGACAGAGATGACGATGAGAAATAGAGCAGTTGGGACATGGAGCAATGCCCATATGGGAAACCAGTGTCACAGGAGGCGGCTTAACTCACTGGACCACACCACTGGCTCCATTTTAAAGTGTGTTAGAACTGGTTACTCTCCGTGTGGTGTGTTCTTTTTTGTAAAAAGGTGAATTTTGATAACCTTTACGGAAGCTACTTTGGAGCACCTGTTGAGATATGTTACAGCTTTCACCCCGGTGGTCCTATTTTTGGACTATTCCGGAGGAATAGAAGCTGCAGCGCAGCAGAGGGCATTTGGACTAGCTGTTAGGCTGCTGCTTGGGCCATCCACATCCCATGATGAACTGTCCAGGTTCAAATTCTGACTCCTTTCTTACGTTGCACCTCCTGTTGGGCATGTCCTAGGAGGTAGAAGGGTGTGGCTCAAACGCTTGGGTCCCTGTAACCCATGTAGCCGACTGGGCTTGAGACTCTGATTCCAGGCTTCGGTTGTTTGTAGGCATTAGTGCATGAACCAACAAATGCAGGCTCACACTGTTTGCGTCTCAGTGCCTGCTAAGTTAAAAAAAAAAAAAAGATGCATTCATGTATAACCCCAGTGTATGAAAACATGTCTGCATATGTCTTTTTTAAAAAGATTTGTTTATTTTTATTATAAAGTCAGATATACAGAGAGGAGGACAGACAGAGAGGAAGATCTTCCATCCGGTGATTCACTCCCCAAGTGAGCACAATGGCCGGTACTGTGCCGATCCAGAACCAGTAACCTCTTCCGGGTCTTCCACAGGAGTGCAGGGTCCCAAAGCTTTGGGTCGTCCTCCACTGCTTTCCCAGGCCACAGGCAGGGAGCTGGATGGTAAGTGGAACTGCTGGGATTAAAACCGGCCCCCATATGGGATCCTGGCACATTCAAAGCAAGGACTTTAGCCACTAGGCCATGCCGCCGGGCCCTGCATATGTTTTTAGTGTAGCATTGTTATCAGTGACCAAAACTGGAGTACTGAATGAATGGCAGTTATGGAAGCTGTATTTTCCAGATTTGATAGGGTGGAGCAGTGATTTGAGGGAGAGAAGGGAAGAGGAACAGATAAATGAGCAAAAAGTAGTATCATTAACATCAGAAGCACAGATATCAGCCCCAGGTTTTGTGGGCATTCAGGGAGTAAGCCAGTGAGTACAAGACTGATTCAGTTTCTCTCCCTCTCTTTCTCTTCCTGTCTCTGTACCTTTCAGATAAATAAAACAATATATATGGTTATCTATTCACATCCCAAACCTGTAGTATGTATCTGCATAAATTATGGAAAATGTTGTTATTGTATACTGTCTCAGATTGTCATCATGTACATCCAAGTTTTAGAAGATGTGTGCAAAGTAATGTTTATCTCATGGTTCTATGTGAGTATATAAACAGAAGATCCCCTGCACATGAATTTTCCTGCAGTTGAGTCACAGCACCTTGCTTGGTTCCAAGTTTCTTTCAGCTTCACTGGGAAGCTTACCAGGAAGAATCCCTTCTGACGCGCAGGCTCCTAATGTTGGAGCAATTGCCTTGGAGTGGCGTGGTCAATACGGAGAAGTGCTGTGGTTCTGTTCCCTTCAGCACTACCTGTGGGTGCTGAAGATTGCGTGCTTCTCAAGGGCTGAGGGAATGGAGCATTGCTACCGCCTAGGATTCGTGAAAGCTCTACGGAATTTCCCAGTAGAAGAATTGCAAGAAATCAGTCAGGCATGAGCATTTTCTGTTGAATCTAGCTGCACATTGCATTCCTTTTCTTGACTGATTTTGGAGAGAGATGCTATACAAGGCTACCTGAGTTGGCAGAATACTGGAGGTGCTGGTACAGGAAGGATTGTGTAACTGTCATCATCAAAGTGAAAAGTTTATTACTTGATACTGGTTTATATCTCTTTGACATCATACTGAGCCTTTTGACTGTTTTCTTAGGTAAAACAATTTTTTTTTTTTTTAGCATTCTGTGAAGAGAAAAAAGAGATTACAATGTGATAATCTGTATCTTTGGTCCAAATTTCTTTTCTCTTTCCTTTAGAAAGCCTTTATTTTACACAATTACCTAATATGAGCAGATGTCAAGAAGCTTCTGGAAAATGGAATTAAATGATAAATTTATTTTGGTGCAAAAAAAAAGTGTGATCTAAGTGTAGGTTTTTAATAATGCATGTTTTCCAAGAGCTTTTCACAGATACAGACATTCAAATTTTTGTTTCTTTACTTTCATTTCGTTGGAGACTCAAGGAATGAGGCAGAAACACACAGGAAATCTTCATCTGCTGATTCACTCCCCAAGTGCCCATAACAGCCACATCTGGGCCGGGTTGCAGTCAGGAGACAAACTCCCCAGTTCCTCTAAACAGGTGGCAATCTTCCGCTGCCTTCCGAGCACCTTTGGAGGAAGCTGTATCAGAAACGGAGTTTGACTCCATTCCAGGCATTTTAATAATGCTGTAATACTTCCTAAAAACAGCATTTGATTGGGCCCTCCCTAGTAGACCACAGGTGAAATTTGAAATCCTATGTATCTATAACAGGCTACTTTTTGATTTGATAATTGTGTATGGCTCATGAGTGGTGTTAACAGCTGTCCAGTAGCTCTCAGCAGGAAAAAGATTGTAAGCATCTCAGGTGATGACTTTAACCTACCATGCCCACACTGTATCCTCCAGAACTTTTTTTTTAAGATTTATTTTATTTTTATTGGAAAGGCAGATTTACAGAGAGAAGAAAAGACAGAAAGATTATCCACCCACTGATCCACTTGCAATGGCCGAATTTGAGTTGTTTCAAAGCCAGGAGCCAGGAGCTTCTTCCAGGTCTCCCACATGGGTGCAGGGTTCCAAGGCTTTAGTCCATTCTCTATTGCTATCCCTGGCCAAAGGCGGGAAGTGGAGCCATCTGGACATGAACCAGTATTCTTATAGGATGCTGGTGCTTGGAGATAGAGGATTAGTCAATTGAACCATTGTGCTGGGCCCTCCTCCAGATACCTTTTAAAGGCAGGTAGAATCATTGATTTGTGTGTGTGTGTGTGTGTGTGTGTGTGTGTGTGTGTGTGTGTGTGTGTGCACGTGTGTGTAACTAAGAATGTTCAGAGTATTACTGTATAATGGATGAATTAAAATCACATATAGTACTGAAACTGTCTCTTTAAAAGCTGGAGAGTTATATAAATATGTTAAGCTGGCTTTGAGAATATTGAGTCAATGTAAGTACAGGAAAGTTAACTCAGTGTGCATGGGTCTGCTTAATATGAGTTCTTCAATTTATAAAACTTAGAAAATTAAAAATTATTCTTTCAAACCACTGATCTTGTAGATTTTAAACTCTTTTATCTCTCTCTTTTTTTCCAAACAGACCATATACTCCTATGAATGGAAATATCTCCAATGTATGGTTTGACAGATTTAAGATATCTAATGACTGCCCAGAACACATTGAGTCAATTGATGTGATGTGCAAAGCGCTGTCTGATCTGATTGATGAGGAAGTGAGGAGCGGCATCAAGAAAAACAGGATTTTAATAGGTAAGACCTTTAAAGAAGGTGGTTTATATTTTCACTTTTGTCTAGTTCTACCTGTTATAATATTACTTAGAAGCGTTTGTATATTGTTCAACTCACTAATAGATTTATATATAAATGTTAACAAATTTAGGACTTCAAAAATACAAAATCATAGCATCATAAAAATATGCTTGATTTTCTTTTTGTATAGCAACAGTGTGAAAACCTCATGGTAGTTAACCTTTTTTTAGTAGTTTAATTTTCTATTGCAATATTATCACTCTCAGTTTACAAAATATTGTAATTATGCCAACTAGTAGTTTTACTATTATTGCCATGATGGATACATAATAAAAATATACTGAAAAATTCATGAAATTTAAACTCATCTGTTAGCATTGCAAAATGAATATTTATAGACTTTTGTCGACTTTGTCTTTAGCCCTGTTCCCAATGCGGTAGACCATGCTGTATGTCAGCTCTGCTTTCCGGTACCTCTTTAATGATAAAACTCCTATCTCTCATGTGTACAAAACTACTACAGGGTATAGAAAGCGCGAGTGGTATAGATCATATAGTGGAGAGTTTTATTTACAAATATTACTATTTTGGGCCCGGCGGTGTGGCCTAGTGGCTAAAGTCCTCGCCTTGAACGCGCCAGGATCCCATATGGGCGCCAGTGCTAATCCCGGCAGCTCCACTTCCCATCCAGCCCCTGTTTGTGGCCTGGGAATGCAGTTGAGGACAGCCCAAAGCTTTGGGACCCTGCACCCACGTGGGAGACCTGGAAAAAGTTCCTGGTTCCTGGCTTCGGATCAGCATAGCATCGGCCGTTGCGCTTACTTGGCTAGTGAACCATCGGACGGAAGAAATATTACTATTTCATTTATGATGAAATATGTCTTGATAATGTTATAAAGCAGATATTTCCACCATGTTGTAAATTACATTGATGTATACACTGAAGTTCTCTAGAGACAGGGTTTGAATAATTGAATAAACTGTCTTTAAATTTCTTATGACCTGGAATGACCCAAGAAGTTGAAACAAAAACGGTAACTGTGATCCAGCATGCTGTATTGGATCCCCTAACATTTGTAAGGGATCTTCAACGGAAGTGGTTGTTTATGTTTGTTTTATTTCCTAGAGCATTTTGCAATGCCTGGCACAGAACATATGCCCAGAAAGTCTGTAATAAGTGATATAACTTGATCAGTAAATTGTTGATTTAAACAATTAAGAACGCTTTGAATTCAAAGGACGAATAGATGACATGCATTTGGGACCATTAGAAGAGTTCCCTAGCAGAATGGTGGTGGCATTTGGAATGTACAAACTGATAGGGTTTTAACTATTGGTTTTAGAAACCTGGGTGTAAGCAACGTGCAGGAATAGCAAAGTAGAAACAGGGAGAATAGTGCTGCTGCTTCTGTCTGTTGGACGCGAGTTTGGTGAGGACTGGAGGGCAGCTTGTGGCCCCTGATAGACCGAGAGAACAAAGAGCTCGCAGCAGTGGCAATGACGAAGTGGCTTCAAATCTGAAGCCAGGACATCCCAGCTGACACACTGAGCAACTACTGACGCAGAACTGGCTCACGTGTATAGAGAGAGCAGGTTTCACGCATGTCATGCACACAGTTTGAACAGCAATGATTCTTTCACCCTTGCTCCTTCTTCATTTCTTATTTTTCTGTAAGTTTTTGTGCTGACGTACTTTCAGTTTACTTTAATCACACACTTCATCCTGAATTAAATAAAGAATTCGGCAAGTAGTAAATAGAGCACGGTTCCTCAGGGGAATAGACGGGACAGTCATCAGTCATCAGCTCTGAGATGTCAGTTTCACCTGTATACATCAATGTCTCATCTCTAAAGTCGGAATGTTAGCACAGTCCTCTCCTCCGAGATGGTCCTTCTCAACAATTTGATACATTCTCGACTCTCAGTAACTGTTTCCTTCAGTCTTCCTCACCCTTGTCCTCTGGGTATAATATACGTCTCTTGGGTAGGTCATGAATATTTCCCTCTCTTGAACTTAGGTGAATATCCAGACATTTTAATTCTGTTTTTTTACAATGTGATTTTTCCACTTTTCAAAATTATTTAATTATTTGATTCATCTGTAATTTTAGTTTCTACACATTTGGACTGATTAAAATTTAAGTGCATTAACCACATTTTAATGCAGGAATGCAGTGGGAAATCAAAGAAAAGTGTATTTGAGGGTCAAACAATTCTTCTTAAACATGTATGCACACTCAGACAAATATATTCACAGCTCAGAGTCAAGAGTAAGATTATGTTATTGCAGCCTGTGTTGTGGCAGAGCAGGTTGGCCTCCACTTGTGATGTTGGTGTCCCAAATGACTGCCAGTTCAAGTTCCGGCTGCTCCCCTTACAATCCAGCCCCCTGCTAATTTGCCTGGGAAGCCACGGAAGACACCGGGGCCCCTGACCCCATATGGAAGATTCAGATGAGGCTTCAGGCTCCCAGCCTCCACCCGTTACAGACTCAGCCATCAGGATCATTTTGGAAGTGACCTAACAGATGGAAGATTCTCTGTTTTTCTCTGCCCCAGGCTCGGCATTTCTGCCTTTCAAATAAATAAAAACTAAAACTTTTTAAAGAAAGAGATTCTACCAGTCAGAAATTGAGTTATAGGGGCTGCTCCACTTCCATTTCAGCTCTCTGTTGACGGCCTGGAAACGGCAGCAGAAGATGGTGCAGGCTTTTGGGCCCCTGCCACCCAGCTGGGAAACCCAGATGGAACTCTTGCTCCCTGGCTACAGCCTGTCTCAGCACTGGCTCCTGTGCCATCTGTGGAGTGAACCAGTTGACAGGTGATCTCTCTCTTAGTAGTGTATGCTTGGAATAATAAAGTAAATCTTTTAAAGAAAATTGATTGTAGTGGGAGAAATAGAAATACAAAATTAGAAAAGTGAAGTTATTCTAATAGATGCAAAAAAATGTATCTTTATTCATATTATTTTCTGTTTGATCATATTTTCAATTTCATGTCAAATGGTGTTTACTGACGGGACCCTGTCTCAGATTATATGGCTTTTTAAACAAAATTGCTGTCTACATGTGATGTGAGTGTGAGCCCATTCTTTGTCATTTTAGTGATATTTTTGTTATGTTAATTCAGATTTGCATGCTTATTTTCAGTACTATATGCTATTTCATCTTTCCACGTGTCTGTCCAACTTGATTAGGTTGACCCCGACAGCCAGCTGGGCTAGGCCGCAGCCAGGAGCCAGAAGCTCCATCTGGTTCTCCTGTGAGGCTAGCAGGGCCCAAGTACTTGAGCCCTTATCTGCTGCGTGCTCAGGTGATGAGCAGGGATAGTTAGATCAGAAGCGTAATATTAAGGGATTCAAGGTCGCACTCTGAAATGGGACAGAAACATTGGAAGTGGCAGCTTAGCCAGCTGTGCCACAAAGCCAGCCCCCAGTTTTTTGGTTTTCTAAGTTTTCTACAGCGGACATGTATTGCCTTCTTAATAGGACTAATAAATGTTGAGATGAGGAGAGCCGGGCAGTCTCACCGCCCTCCGATCTATGATGCAGAAAATGCTCAGTGAAGCGGTGGATATTCCTCGGAGACATTTCATGTATTCTCATTATTTACGTCTTTAAGAATGTAAGAAAAAACATTGTTGTGTATGTATACCACATGTGACTATAGAAATTATTATAAAGCCCAGGACACAGGCATAGGCTAAAACTGCAGTTTAATCAGTGGCAGAGCTAGCTAGGATTCAAAACCTGTGATCTGTGAAAAGTTTTAATGAGATTAAGCTATGCTGTATTTTTCTCACTCTGTTAGCAGATTTGAAAGTATCCTATAGGCAGAATACAAGCACATTTCACAGTCAGTCCATTTTCTCTCTGTCAAAAACCCATCTTAAGCCCTTCCTCCTAGTGATTTCTGTATACTTTGAGAAATCAAGATGGAAAAGTATATATTATTTTCCCTTGTGTACTGTTGTGATTAGAAAGTGCGTATGATAATAGTAATCTTACATTAGTTGGCATTTATGTAAGATATAAGTAAGTTTTAAACCTGCTGTTAAATAACATGGTGTTTGTGTTCAGTCTAAGTTATAAAGTTACTTTCATATGCATCATTCTTAAATTCTGCAACAGGCAAAATAGAATATCATTATTCTCATTTCAGAGATGAAGAAAATAAATTCCAAGAGATGGCTCCTGGCCACTATGGAGTTGGGACTAGAACTCGGCTCCTTTGACTTAGAGAACTTTGTACTATGATCCGATTCCTTTTTTGGCCACTAGGTGGTGATAATTTGTTAAGAGAAAATATTAATATAATTTAAGTTTGATTTTAATTTAAGATGTATAGAACCGAACAGATGACATGGGCAGATCATCAGAATTTTGAAGCATGGAGTAGCGAATGTTCTCAGAGCTGCACCTGCATAATTTATATGGATTATATAAATATTCTATCCTACAATATATGGTTAAGAGAACCATGGTCCATTAATGAGATTAAATGTCCTGTAACCATTCAATACCAGTTAAACACAAATAGAAGGAGTATATGTTCAGTTAAGATAATTGTGAAGTTTCATAATTTCAAGTCTATTATATTAAATAGAAAGTTAAGGTATACATGTACAGTGAGACTGATTGTTAAAATTTTTAAAGAACATCTCCAAATTTTATTCGAGTTGTAAGATTTCATATGACTCATTTTATTTGTTTGGATAAAATGGTAGAAACACTTTATTGAGTACATGAGTGTACTACTTTATTAATTTTACAATAATATGGAAAATGAAAATTAAAAGGTCCTGGAATCCTCAAGAAAAATATAATACTGAAATTTCCACACTTGCCTCATCCTTAAAATATGGTTGTTCTGATACGCAGCTGGTAGCTAGAAGTTGGAAATTACTTCCTGCTTTGTCTGAACATATGTCTTAATTAAACAACTTTCTTCAGCGACAGTTGTCAGGCTTGAAAATGCTTGAAAGTAGTATTGTGATAGTTTTCCACAGAGCAGAGTAACTTTATTCTGCGAATCTTGAGAGGAAAGGTCTGAATAAATGCAATCAGGAATGGATGATGTGTGTTCCCAAATCATTGAGGCTTTTGGTGCCTTTACGTCTAAAGAACAGACATAATAGAAATGGAAGAAATTTAAAATGTTAAGAAATGTTTGGGATCATGAGAGATTTTTTATTACATGTTTATAATCCTATTCGGCTGATATCAAAAATTATTTTTTCTTCAGATTTCGCTTTCAAATAGAGTATCTTAGCCCTCCTAGAGTAGTTTTTTATATAGATTGTTTCTGTTTTATTTTATATAAAGAGTTCATAAAACCAGGTTTATTGTTTTCTAACATGTTTTAGTTAGCTTGTTAATCTTAAATATATGTTGAAACTTTAACTCTTGACATTTAAATACTTAGCCAGCAACTATAAATATCCATTATAGCCATTACCCACAATGAATTTAGTATTTGCTATTTACCTTCTGAACAGTATTATTTTTATAGTAAATTTTAAACTCTCAGATGGAAAATTGAATTCAAATGACTAGTTCGTTGTGTTAAATTTTTTTCCATTAAGAAAAAAATATACACGAAGTCCCTTCTCATGGTAGTATCCATGCTTAAGGTTATTGTGTTGTCAAAGAGGCCCAGTGAAAAACTGCAAGATTATTAACGCATAAGGGACTTAGATTAAATCTTAAAATAATATTTCCATTTTTCTTCATTGTGACTTACAAGAATTGAGAGTGAGATTGAATTTACTCGTGTTCATAATGACATTTCATGGGTGAGTAAATGTTTTCCTATTTTTTTTTAACTTTGGCTAGTCCCATTAAGGCATCTTGAAGCCACATAAATTTGAGTTCCTAGGTTAATAAAAATGAAGCATGGGGGTAATTGCTTTATGAAATCTTCCTAAAATTTTAATGTGTTTTTCTTAGTTATCTATCTAATATATATTTTCATATTTTTAATTCATCCTTTAATGCATGGTTTTTAAAAATCCTGCTAAACAAGCATGGAGTTGGCGCGGTGTGCCAGGCTCTGTGGAAAGGGGAAGCTGTCTCAGCTGAATGCCAGAGACCCTATTCAGCTGGCCACCACTCCGGCAAAGCTGGTGCTTGAAGGAGGAACCAATACTTACCACAATGATTTCAAAATCTGGAGAACTAATTTGTATGCAGTAAATTAAAATTTGATCATTTTATTTCGAAATACATTTGCTTTTTAAACCCACACGATGTTATACGGAAGCAAGGAGAAATTTATGACTAGAATTGTGTCAAAGAAACCAATAAAGCTTAGAATTCCTGCTGAATATTTAGGCTAAGTATTTACTACCAAAATTACTAATCCTGTTCATGGCAGGAATTTCATATCCAGATGGGACATGCCAAGCATTTGTTAATGCGCAGACTCATGAATAGCCAAAGGACAGCTAACTTTGGAGGAATCTCATGAACATACCTGAATACTGTATGCAGTTTTACAATCTGTACGCTTCTTCCACCCACACCAAGTTTATTCATGAACCTGTAATTGGCTGTGCCCGCCTGGGAGTGTCGGGAGGTGTTTTGAAAGAGACTTTGGGTGTTTTTTTATTCATGGTGAGCATGTTACTCCTGAGACTCTCCAAGTTCCTGGATGTTTAAAACTGGATATTGGCTCAGTAGTTACTCTGCGTTGTTGTTATTTTTATACTCCCTCCTTTCTAAAAATCTAAACTTTGCAATACTGCTTAACCTTTACGATGTTCTCGTATCTTTAATCCAAAATATTTTCATGTATGCCTACCTTAGATTAGGTGGTCTCATTTTAATAAACTTCAGATGATGACAGGAAGTACATTAAACTCCTTTGCGAGAACACAGGGTTGCTAAAGTCTTACCTATACGCCTTAAATTCGGGTGCAGTCTCAAGTATGTCACCTACTTTCCTTGGCCTCAGTTCTTGCTACGTGTAAAAAAAGGGTACTGTAGTAAATACAAACTTACAGTGGCTGAATGCTCAGCTTTATACGTTGTTAAGTGAAGTAAAGCAGCAGGCTGGAAATTAAGCTATCTGAAATCCAAACCAAAGTATTTATTTATATTTCTGTAAGTGTGTGGCCGCATGATTTATTTTCTGTATTTATATGCTCTTGAAATCTAAATGATGTATCTTTTAACGCTCAGTCAAGCTTAGGAATAGCATCCTTAGTCCCTGTCTTCGAGTCAGGCCGGAAACCACATTGGCTCGGCAGCTGCCAGGTCACGCTCCCGTCTCTGCCTTCTCTGATCACTGGCTTTCCTCACCCCAGTCCCCTTCAAGGGGAGGACTTCGCCAGTGGTCATGAGTATTTTCCACATAAAAGATGATGAAGATTATGTCAGCTAACTAAATGGTTCTTTCAAACTCTGTTTTAAAGAACAGCATATATGCATATATGCATGTTTTCATTTTTATGATACCATCATAAGGCAGTTTCCAAAATATAGAATTGTCAAAAAGATGTTGGAATGAGCCCAGCAGAGTTTTGATCGTCTGTCCTAATCCAAAGATCACTAAGCACTGAACATTTGACAGACATGAGACGACTCCTCATGGAGCTCCACAGTGCGGCCAGGAGGACAAAAGGTGCATGCTACTAGTGGTAGTTGTGGTGTAAGAATTCTAGAATTCCGATAGGTATAAGCAAAATTGTAAGTAGACATTAAAGGATTAAATAGGGGCCAGCACTGTGGCATTAGTATTTGGTGAAAGAGACAGAAATGCTTAAAATAAATAATTAAATCAACAAATACAATAAATTAATCAAATGATGATTTAAAAATACTAACTAAAAATAATAATTATTATTAAAATAATTTTAAAAGAAATCTCACAATGCTAAGAGCTAAGACTTGGATCTAGGGCGGTTCATGCAAAGAAGCTCTTGTTCTTTAATCACGGGGTTTTTGCTGAGATATAAATCCAATGCCTAGTCAAAAACCAATATGTAACAATGCTTAAAACTAAATCTTTTTTTTTTTTTTTCCCTTGGGCCCAGTGCAATGGCTCAGTAGCTGAATCCTCTCCTTGCACATGCTGGGATCCCATATGGGCACCAGTTCATGTCCTGATAGCTCCATTTCCCATCCAGCTCCCTGGTTTGTAGTCTGGAATAGTAGTGGAAGATGACCCAGAGCCTTGGGACTCTGAACCCATGTGAGAGACCCAGAAGAAGCTCCTGGCTCCTGTCTTCAGATCAGCTCAACTCTGGCCATTGGAGCCACTTGGGGAGTGAACCAGCAGACATAAGATCTTTTGATCTCTCCTTCTGTCTTTGCATCTGACTTTGCAATAAATTAGTTTTTTTTTTTAAATCTGTATAAGATTTAAATAAATAATTCTCATGGTAACTCTTATGATTTATGATACATTTTTATGTGGTGAATAGGATTACTTTTTAAGTCCTCGTCCCTATCACAATACAATGCAGAATTGGCAGATGGTAATGGGATGACTATATGTAATGGGTCTGTTTTCTGTGCGATGTAACGTAGATGAGTTTTCGTTTTAGCATTATGTATTGTTAAAGGTCTCCAGTTACATGCATGTATGAGAGTGTCATACTTGTGTTTTCATCTTACTTAATAATTTAATACCTACGATAGCATTGCACATATTCTGCTTTCTCTGATAGGTATATTTTTGCTTATTTCAGGAGGATTTTCCATGGGCGGATGTATGGCAATGCATTTAGCATATAGAAATCACCAAGATATAGCAGGAGTCTTTGCTCTTTCTAGTTTTCTGAATAAAGCTTCTGCTGTTTATCAGGTAAGCTACAGATTAAAAAGTAAAACAAAATTGAAAAACATGAAACATACCTCAAAACTAAAACACAGTTGATAATTAAGCAATAAAAATTGATTTACACTGTGTTTACGATTGATGTAAGTTGAACATTCCTGGGAATTAATTGCCAAATGGCTCATACTCATTTGTTCTAACCGATCATTATTGCTCAGAGAATGTCCTATATAAAGAAAACTGTGGGTGTGGCATGCTAATCCTCCACCAATGGTGCCAGCATCCCACTGGTGGAGACCCCAGTTCAGATCTCAGTAACTCCCCTAGGATCCAGTTCCCTACCAAAGACTTGTGAAGGCCGCAGAGGAGGACCCAACCCGTTTGCCCCTGTTCCCATGTGGGAGACTCAGAAGAAGAACCTGGTCCTGTCCTGACCATTGAAGCCCTTTGAGGAGTGAACCAGCTGACAGAAGATCTCTCTGTCTCTTTTTTTCTCTGTAACTCTACCATACAAATGAAAAATAAATAAAAATTTTAAAAGAATATTGTGAAGCAAAATGTTAAAGAAGATTTAAAAAATACATATAGATGATATGTATGTATCCTTTAACATAATCCAAAAAAAAAAAATAATAACGTACCTGACACATACTTTGTAGCAACTTCCTAATTTATCAGTATGGCATTATTGTAATGTTGAGACCACACTGCAAGAAGTAGAAATGATACTACAAATATATATTCTAAAAAAACTAGAATGAAATTTTCCCTTTGATTATGTACTTTTCCTCCCTTTCACTGTGTGCATAAATGGTTCTTTTAAGTGAAATGTTTATTAACTTCCATGGTAATGTCTTTTTCTCTAGGCTGTTAAGGAAAGTCATGGGGAACTCCCTGAATTATTTCAGTGTCATGGAACTGCAGACGAGTTGGTTCTTCATTCTTGGGGTGAAGAGACAAACTCAGAGCTAAGATCTCTAGGTGTAAGCACAAAATTTCACAGTCTTCCCAATGTTTACCATGAGCTAAACAAAGCTGAGCTGGAAAGGCTGAGGTCGTGGATTCTAACCAAACTGCCAGGATAAATGGAAAGGTAACATGAATGAATCAGGATTGATTTCTTAATGGATATGTGATATCTTTGTGATAGTTTTTATTGCCAATTATGGTCATCAATTATAAGAAATAATATGGATGGTCCTGATCTGGTTTTAGGAAGCCTTAGTCAAATAAGGACTGAAAAATAAAATTATGTTCCTGAATTGAAAGTGATAATAGTTGGTGATATCTTATACATAATCTAATTCTCTATTATTTGATGTTCACAGTACTTTTTTAAAGATTTGTAAAATAGCCATCATTCCAGTTCTGCAAAAAAAATACATGTATTCTTGCTTTCATTCAATAAAATTCATATGCATTGCATATGGAAGTGGTTCATTAATTTTATTGCTGAGTACAATTCTATTGTGTGGATATGACAAAGTTTCTTTATTGATTCACCAATGTAAATATTTATGGAATTTCCAGTAAAGGAATATCATAGATAAAATTGCTGTGCATATTAATATCTATGTATCTATGTTGTCATTTCCATAATAAGTCAGAATAAAATAAGTAGATATATTTGTTGTATAGCTGTAACTCAGCAGGAAACAATACAGTTGTTTTCCAAAGGAATTGTGCACCTTGAACTGCTACTAGGCTATATCCCAGACCTGCTTCGCATGCTTAGGGAGGTGCTATGGCCTGGCCCTGACTGCCCCAGATTCAACTCCTGTATACGCTGGCAGGTGCCGTGGCCTGGACTGTCCCTCCCCAGCCACAGATCTCATGCTTAATAGTTGGTACAGCTGTAAGTATAGGGTACTGCAGTGGACTCTTACTATGCAGTCCCCAGACCTGGCTGTCTTGCATGGCCATTGCATCAGGGTCATGGGAGACCCTCCAGACACCCTGTTTGCTCCATCATTTGTCCCAGCTTTCTTCTCACGTGTGAAGTGCAGTGATTTTTTTTCCATTGTTTATACCTGATCTAGCCCTCGGTGGTCTGCCTCTGGCCTGTTCTAGTTTGGTGCACACCCAGGGAGGCAGGGCAGGGGTCTCAATGACCAGCATGGCCCTTCCCCAGCAGTGTGCACAACCATGGTCAAGTTCATTTTCTGATATAAGAAATTTTTCTGTAAATTCTTTGGATTTTCTGTAAAGACCATCATCTGTTATAAATCAAGATACTTTTATTTCTTCCTTTCCCAATGTGTGCTTTTCCTTTTTCTTTTTCTTAGTGTTTTGCTTTTGTTTTGTTTTGTTTTTTTCATTAATTAAGTTTCATTCTGTGACACAGTTTCATAGGCTCTGGGATTCCCCCAACCCCTCCCAGTATCCTCCCCCCATGGTGGATTCCTCCACCTTGTTGCAGTATTATAGTTCAAATCCAGTCAAGATTCTTTCGTTGCAGGCATATACCAGCCATAGAGTCCAGCATCTTATTGTGCAGATAAATTAAATGGTTTCTGGTCTGAAGGCAGAGCTGGCAGAATATCATCCCGACCAATTAAAATCCCCAACATAACATCAACAACAATTTACAACACTATGGAGTTAATTGACATGGTATTGAGTAACCAATATGTTAGAAAGTGGTTTTTCTTTCCTTTCTCCCCTTTGTCTTAAACACTGTCTAAATCTCCTAGTGCTAATGTTAGATGCTGAATAACTTTACATTTCTTGATTATGCACCAGTGTCCACGGGGCAAGCAGGTTTCCTGTGGAGTTGTCCTCAGATGGTGTCAGAGCTGTTTGTGGGGACTCCATCACTGTTCCTTCTGTTCCTTTAGGAGGGTTGGAGCTTCTTTGGCTGCTGGTTAGCGCTCCACTTCAGAGAAGGACTCTGAGCAGCCTGGTCTGCTTAATGAACTCCAAGCTGTCATCCTCTAAGCACACAACTCAGCCTGCTCACTGGACTCCTGCTGGTCCCCACTTGATGCTGAAACCCGAGAGCTTCCCACGTAGAGCTGTTGCATTCCTTAGAGATCAACTCACTATCCTCTCTTTCTTAGGAAAGCACTGTTTTGTACTGCCAAAGGCCAATATCTATGAATATACAAGGATACTTCAAAAAGTTCATGGACAAATGAAATTTGAAGGGAAGTTTATATTGGTTCAAAAACATTTGAAGTGCATGCATAATTTTCTCCTAACATACGTTTCCTTTGAATTTTCTCAAGATTTCCCCCAGGCATCAATTTAAAAAATTGTGTACACCAAAATAAACTTGTCTTTGCATTCTATTTTTGCATGAACTTCTAATGTCCCTCCTTTACATGCAGTCCTTTGTTTTCAGTTATCTCAGGTCCAAGAATAAATAGAATCCTTGTTATTCCATCTAGTCAAAGATAGAATTCTCTTCATTCTTTTAAAGCTTAAAATTCTAAATTTGAAAAGGAAGAGACTTGGAGCAGATGTTGTGGTATTTCAGGCTTGTCCTCTGCCTGTGTTGTTGGCGTCCCATATGGGCACCAATTATGATCCAGCTGCTCCAGTTGTCATCTAGCTCCCTGCTGGTGACCTGGGAAGGCAGCAGAGCATGGCTCAAGTCCTTGGGACCCTGGACTGACATGGGAAACCTGCAGGAAGCTCATGGATCCATTGGCTTCTGACTAGCTCAACTCTGTCCACTGCTGCATTCTGGGGATGTGCTGGTACGTGGAAGATCTTTCTGTTTCTTTCTTTCTTTGTGACTCTTTCAGGTAAGATAAATAAATCTTAGGGCCCAGCGGCGTGGCCTAGCGGCTAAATCCTCTCCTTGAATGCACCGGGATCCCATATGGACGCTGGTTCTAATCCCTGCAGCCCCACTTCCCATTCAGCTCCCTGCTTGTGGCCTGGGAAAGCAGTCAAGGGCAGCCCAAAGCCATGGAACTCTGCACCCGTGTGAGAGACCTGGAAGAGTTTCCTGGCTCCTGGCTACTACTTTGAATCTACTTTGCCCTTAGACTAACATATATGTGTATTAAAGACATGGGTGTCAAGCATGTGAAGCATGTAAACACAAGTATAGTATAAATATCTATGAATGCTTGCTGTCACATTTTGAGATAAATTCAACTTCTGTAGGATAGTCTTGTGAAATTTCTGTTTAAGAATCGAGCTATTTAATATATGTGAAAGTCTTTAATGAAATGTAAATTTAAGCAAATTGAAGACCTTGCTGTAGTTTCATTCCCAAGAGAGAAGTGTACGTATGTGAGTGGTGGGGGCTGGGAGAGGCTATGAGAGTGCTGGGTGCTAGTTGCACATTTTGTTCATAGAGTTTTGCAGGGAAGATGATATTTCATGTAATCTTCAATTCTGGTCCCCCAACCTTTGAGATGATTGAATATCCTGTGTCAGTAATATGAGCTTTTTTTAAACCTCATTTCAAACCATACAACATCTGAGCTGGTGGCACAGGACAATCTAATCAGACCAAACCCTCCATTATCTAATCTTGATTCATTCATCTTCAGATTTATATTGTCTTTATGTGTGTGGTCTCTTAAACCTTACTATGTGAGCCTGAAAATCACTGCTAAGGTCAGAAACCGATCTCAAGATTCTGTTCCCCTAACCCAACCACTCAACCATTCTCCTCATGCCACACCTTAAACCTTCCTGCCCATGTTAACACCGCGTAAGACAAGGTTGTTGAAATAGCTTTGATGCCTTCTTAACACAGGAGAGGAGACGCTGTGGCAAGAAGACCACATAAATTAGAGTTACAGTAAGTGGTATATGTTTATATGTTGTAGGAACTGGAATTTTCCAAAGGAAAAAAGACAATGTTATGATATGAGAGAAGGGAGATTTCATTTTTCTCTGTAGTCTACACTTTAATAATAAGATTTTTTTGTCATCCTCCAGGAGAAATAACATATTTACTAAAAGTATTCTTTCATCAGCTAAAATGTGAATGGGACAATTGAATTTTAATTGGAGTATAATAAGCTGAGTACAAAATATAGACTGATTATCAGAGTAACTTCATTTGTCAAAGAAAATGCCCAGATACTATTACTCAGCAGATATTCAACAGCAAGTCTCTTCATTCTATGGAGCGAATGTCTTGATACATGGTAAGAGGACAGAATTATCAAAGCCAAGCAAACATTTTGAGACTGTTTATTTTATCTGGCAGTAAGACTACTGATTCACCAGATTTAAGTAATGTTAATACATGAAGAAGTAGAACAGTATTTAGAGAAAAAAATTTGCTGTTACGTACATTTTTATGCTGTTTTCTAATGTTTCTTTAAAAAATGTGTTTCTGTGGCTATACACATGTAAACTAGGAAAGAAAGATACATGCTTGTCATAGTCCTATGCTGTGGATCAGATGCAGACACATACACGTGTTATCTCATGTTTGTTAAATTCTAATGTTTAGCTGTAGCCACATCCACACAATTTGTTTTATATAATATTGAATTAAGACTGTGAATAGGACTCCCAAGTACCAAAATGACAGTGCTCTGCAGTGCTCACCTCAACTGTGCCCTTCATGGTCTCATCTCATACAGATCGATAAGGACTGTACATGTTAATAAATACCTTAGGAGGCTGAGAGTCCTTCTAACTACTAATCAGAGCAAACCCTCTAGCTACTAATGCATTGGCTCTGGCATGCAGATATGTAAACAATTGCACACCTGATCTGGAAGGAAGAAATTTTGGCCACATGTCATCCACAAGTGCCTTGGCCAGTGAGCAGAAGTGCACCTGATGATTCCATGGATATGATAGATAACTGATCATTTTAAAGTTAAGCTTCAGAGCAGCTTTGCTAACTGAATGATTCCATCCAGGGGCCTTAGACCCTCAGGCTTTGCTTAAATAGCAAAGTAGTTATCACTCCACAAAGTACCTTCAATAACCGAGGGGAGCATCTTTATGGACAGACTCCCACACTCACCTCAAGTCTTCCTGAGCTATTTGTGTTATTTCCTTAAACAGTAAGATCAAGAAAGTTGAAAGTATCCCCTTATATATATAATATACATATATATGTATGCATATATACATGTATTATTTCTATATACACACACATACATGAGATACAGATGTGTAAACATAGGAGAGCATCCCTTCACATGTTCCCTCCATTCACCTCCCATTATTGTCCTCACGTTATTACAATAGCATCGTCATTCACTTCACCATTCAAGCTTAACCAGTATCGTTGTTATTGTCTGCTCAGTTTTCACCTAGAAGGGAGAGAGACAAAAGGCACTATTCAGGGTAGGGTCTCTTCCATGGTTGTAGGTGCATGAATTTATTCATGAGGTTAAAATTCTTATGATTTACTTTTCAAAAGGCCTCTCTTAATATTATAACCTTGGCGTTTACACTCTGGGACATGCATGCAAA